GGAGCCATAAAAGCCCTTTACAAGATTCACAACTTTTTTTTGCAGTCGCTCTCTCAGAGACCTGTAAGCAAACGCTCCACTTCAACGACACGTGTGAATTTATAGCAGAGATATTGAAGATTTCTCAAAACAAAATTGACACTGACAAATGTAGATCATAATGGATTCCAGAGTAAAACTAATGAAATCATAATAATTTAAGGGCATCAAGTCGTGATGCCTCCTGGGCGCCTTCTGCTGGAGGAAAGAAACAAGGAACAAGTGTCACGTGTGTCTCTTTTGGGAACTTTAGAATCAGAAGTGGGACAAAGTCTATCACGAAGACCATCCCAGTTCAAAAAGATGACTTCTGAAGTCATCCCCTGTAATGAATCACAGAACAGTGTGGTAAACTGTCTCTAAGTAATTACAGCGTGGACAAGGCTGCAGGCATATTCATAATACCATAATTCAAGGCTGCCATTATAGCTGATTAAACATTTGTTCAGTTTTCTAAAGAGGAGCTCGACCTGTGAACACAGTTGAATTGTCACCGTCTTTGTGAGCTTTTGCGTTTTTTCAAAAAAAAAAAAAAGCTTCTCATCTCGCTAATGCCCAGATATATTTGTAATCTTTGACTTGCTCAATTTGGGCTCCATTCAGGGCACGAACAATGGAGGCATAACGATCGCACGTGCTTGACCTTGTAAATAGAAAAACAATAAATGCATAATTGAAGCCAAGACCGCTGATGTATAAATGCCGAGCTGCATATAAATCAGTTGCAGAGAGACCAAGTTGATAACATCTTCAGTATTCAACAAAATAAGACACGAGGCACTGTGAGGGTTTTTCTGTTTTTCTTTTATTCCCCGCTGTCATGTGTTAGCATGCTATAACACAATTTCTCCTCCATTAGCCCCCCCGCTGGTAGGAAACAGTTGCAGAGAGCGGAGGACGGGGTTCTGGCTGCGTGCGTGAGAACCGAGGATGTGAATATGTGCCTGTATGTCATCAGTGAACACAACGCGGTTATTAGTTCAGTGGCTGAGGTGGATCGATCGGCTGAGAGGAGAGGTGGAGCGGGGTGGGGGGGGGTCATTCTCCACTCAGGGTGATTGTCATCACTTTCTGCAGAAAATAATCTCATCCTCCGCGGTGTTGGTGTGTGTTGGTGTGTGTTTGTGTGTGTGTGTGCAGGCATCTGAGACGAGAGCAGACGCATGTGTGCTTAAGATCTCTGCGGTAGATTGGACTTGCTGCTGCCCTAGAAAACCGTGGCACCTTAAACACAGAGCCAATTAGCGCGGAGCTATTGTGTGTCTGAAATAGCTTCAGCCACCAGATCCTAATAACAGTGGTCAGCCCATAAAATCCTGCTCAGTTAATCCAATTAGATTCAACACATAGGGATCCTGAGCATTAAATCCAATAAGACTTTATACACAGGAATGTTTACTTTTGTGAATTAGATATCGGCTCCATGTACGCAGTAATTGGCAGTTGTTTGGGTGTATTTGTCCTTCCGCCGTTTCATAATAAACCGAAATATCGTGTTTCGCTTCATGCTCTCTCACAAACTCATAGTCGGCGTGGCCACAGGGGGGCAGCAGGAAAAATCCCTCCATCGACCATCAGAAACAAACAAACAAACTGAATCCATACTGTTTACACGGGCCTGGCAGGCAGGCGTCGGAGAACGCTGTGTGCATGTGCCGGGACCGAGGTTCTCAATAATCAACCCTCGCCCACCTGACCAGACTAATTCTGTGGGTGGGTGGATGAGCGGCAGGATGCTGGTCACCGGCTGGGGTCGGATCAAATCCTCCTCCCACAGGAAACAGAAAACGAACTGGAATGATGATGATACACAGTCGAGACCAAAACATATCTGATACCAATATTTGAGCAGATACATATTTATTAAAAATGGTAACTAGAATGACACTAAGTGGAGTTGACCACCAAGAACCCTCAGTCCCCAGAAATTAATTCCAGCTGCGTGTTCTTATTTATTATACATGTTCCTGATATCAGTGGGAAAATAAAACCATATTGGATCTGCCCCCTGATCCAGATCAGCACCAAAATATAATTGGTTCTTGCCTGACCCACATCCATCCACCAAGTTTTATGGAAATCTATCCGATTGTGTTTTCATAAGTAACAGAAACATAAGCTCCTTGGCAGCGATAACAATCCCTAAGATTTAGTTACCAAACCCGTATTACAAAGAATTCTGACAGTAACGGCCGAAATTCCTTTCATAACGACAAATCGAATCCTAATGGTCACTTCTGTATTCAGTGCTTATTTGTTTACGTTGAATATTCTGGAGATCGTTTCCCTGATCTCGGCGTCCTTGGAACAGATCTCTGCTCTCGTGAATTACAAAGCGAACACGTAGAGTATCTTTTAATGTGACATCCATATAGGAGTGGTAATTAGCAGGCTCACTAGCTTTAATTAGTGGGTGTTAGTGGAGAAGAGCTATTTCTATCTGTCCTTTTGATGTGTCTGTTGGATGATGTGCAAATGAGGCGGCTTTTGTTCCGTGTTTGTTCACGTACGTGTTTAAAACGCAGGCGTCGGGAGACGTTGACCCGTCCGGTTAAACCACCGGTGAACCAGTCAAAGGTTGAAATAAAGGAAACAATATGTGGATGTAGAGTCATTGTGTGTTGTCTGTGTAACTCTGGTGCACAGGGAACAAGAGGTAAATGTGCTAATTGAGCTTCCTCTGTTCCTCCTCTCTCTCTCTCTCTATAGCATGTTGTATTTCCATATGTTGTAGAATCTATTTACGACTGTTCCGTGAGAACCATGAAGTAAGATTCTATTCATGCACATTTCCTTCTCATTGTTCCTTTTTCCTAGCGTTCACATCAGCTGAGCACCTGCACGTCACTTTTTACAAAATACAAAAATGAGCATTCGCGTCCGTTTGCAGTTTCAGTCAAACATCCACAGTAAAATGTTCAAAGTATTATCAGCATTATACAAACATATAACTGTCCTGTAGATGAGGTTGTCTGGGTTTCTACAGGCTCCACTCAACCTGATCTGATGGTAACCCTTCTATGATATATCAGAGCTTTTCACAGCGGAGCTATCGTCTTCTCTCACTGCTGAGTTTGCAGCGGTTACGAGCCGGATGTGACGGCGTCATCGCTCTGAAAACCACGTGCCCGGGCCGCTCGACTCACTAAATGGCTCACTACCGCCGTACTTTGCTACCCTTGGTGTTCTGGCCACATTGACTGAGCGATTCGTTGGCCTGCTGGTTTACTGCCCGCTGCGGTCATTTGTACTCGCCTTTCAAATTATCACAGCTAATTGCTGTTATTCCTGGTGAGTGAGTGCTTGTCTTAGAGTGAGCTAATTAACAGTGAGTCAGCAGCGGTAACAACAAGTGACTGTGCCAGGCTGCGCACATGCACACACACATGCACGTGTGTGTGTGTGCTTGCAACAGGATCACTCAATGCAGGTTTATGTGATGCAGAAAACAAAGAGCTCAACAGCATCAAAATTAATTCGGATTATCTATCATTATATTGTGACCATTCAAACATAGACTCCGTGAAATGATAAAAATGATGAATCCACTCGTTCGTACGATATCGCCTGCATTCTACGAAAAACACGTTATGATAAGGAGAAGTACTACACTACCCACAATCCTCAGGTGTAATCTGATTGGTGGAGCTCATGGAAATTACCACAACCGCGATTGGATCATTGAGCGTGACATCACAAAGCTTTCCCTTTCTAACGCGCTGCGGCTTTTAGAGATGAACAAAAGAGTCTGAAAGGCTGAAAATCACCACAACAAGGATACGTTCACGAAGCAAAACGCTTTAAACCGTTGGGACGGGTTCATTTGAATAATAAAGTCTTACCTTTATTCAGTTTTCCGATATATTTATTCCGCTCAGAATCAAATGTTTAATGGTCTTGATCCATCTTGCAGCTGGCCCCAGGCTTAAAACTCTTCTTTTTTTTTTTAAAGATGAATGGAGAAAAATAATTTGACATTTTCTTCCAGAGCCAGTGCCGTTCTAAAAGTGGTCTGTCGCCGATACAGGTTGTAGCATAGCGCAAGTAAGAGCTTATGTAAGACAAGAGCACTATTATTGTATTCCATCCGAAGGAGGAGGATAAAGGGCGTTAGCGGCTTTAATCCAGAGGCTGGTTCTAGAACGATCTGGGACGATGCTGTATAACCTGGATTGGCAGGACGGACGCATCTGCAGCTGAAACAAGTGTCTGGTTGTTGGAATGAAAAGTCTTCGAGTCTCCAGCCAACACCAGATTAAAAAAAGATGGAGCTCCAGTCACTTCAGCAGATGCTTTCAACGGCAGATAATGAGACTCGGCAGAGGCAGACGTTTCTACTCACAGGGACCCGACTGATGTTTCGGTTTTATTTATCAGAGATGAGCCGATCAGTCGGTCACTGCTCATAAATGGTTTATCTGCCACCGAATGAAGCATAATGAAGAAAACACTCCTCCTGTGAACGAGTGTTAGTTTCTCAAACCATCGCTCGACGTCACCGGACTGTTTACAAAGACGGACAAATAAATTAGCGTTGTCGATTTACCTCACATGCATTATACGTGACAGCAGAAACCATTTGATTGAGCTGCTTTGATGACTGATCAATAACCGATGAATTATTATCTTCACTTCTGTTGAACGGACGAATGTCTTGGGCTTTGGGTGAAGACGTGATGAGGATTTTTTCCTCCTGACAGAATCTGTTGATGTGAACGTCTTATTTTGAAAATGCAAATGTGTATTTCAAAATCAGTTATTGATTTTTTTTTTTTTTTTTTTTTCTCTGCGGCTGTTAATAAAAAAAACCACAGCGTTGGGGATGACTTGAAAATGAGTTGATTCTCTTTTGTTCCAGCTCAAAAATTGATTGTCATCTTTAACTCTTTTAATTTCTCATCTTCTCCTCTTCCACCTCCCTTCCTCCCCCTCTCCCAACCCCCTCTCCTCCTCCCTGTCAGATGATGAAGCATGCCTGGGACAGCTACAGGCACTACGCATGGGGTTCCAATGAGCTCAGGCCCGTCTCCAAGCAAGGCCACTCAAGCAATCTATTTGGTGAGTGAGAGACTACACACACACACACACACACACACACACACACACACACACACACACACACACACACACACAGGATTGATCTCTCGTCCCTGCCACCAGCAGCCTTGGCCTTTAGATTAGCAGCCAAATTGGCCGTCAGTTAGTCATCCGTCTACGGGTGCCTCTAAATGTCAGTTTTATCATATATTTATATTCTGTTTGTGCTCCGTGCCAGTTGTTGGCGTCCGTGCTGTTAATGAGCATCTCATTCTCTCTCCTTCATCTTTCTCTCTGTTTTACACGTTCGCGTTTCCTCTCCTGAAAACCTGATTTGTCTGACGGCCTTTCATGCGGCCGGACGACCGCGGGGCCCCGTTGATGAATGTTAAAAAACTGCGTATGTGCGCGCACACTTCTGTTTATGAGAGCAGTGACTGAAACTAGTCCTTTCTTATCCCCGTACCCACACACACACACACACACAAACACAAACACACACTGCATGCAGCTCTCAGTCTCCTCTCATTGCATTGGCTGAGATTTTCAGTTTAAAAGCTGGACACGCAGCTAAAAGCAGAGGATCACACAGATCGGCTATGGCAGCACGTGTGCCAGTGGCAGAGGATCAATACAACTCATTAAAACCGTAATACCATAGTCATATTTAATCTGCAGTGTGTTTGGTTTTTCTCCGTAATTGTGTGCAAAGATAAAGGGACCGAGGACTTGAAAGCGTGGAGATAAAACTGCTTCGGGATCGACTGGTTAATATTTAAAGAGCAGCAGCCGTGAAACTGACATTTCTGATTTACTCCTCGCTCCTGAACGCACGAGAGCGGAGGAGACGATCTCATAAAGGAGCTGAATAAATGAACCTTTAATCTACAATGAGACTGAGGGATTGTTGCTTCTGCAGGTGTCTTAATGTGTCCCCTCCTAAGTGTTTGGAAGAATAATAACTTATTTATTCTGACTGATTGGATTAATAAGAGCAGGGATTGGAATTTTAATGAGTTCAGATCTCGTTCCTTCTCTTCTTGACCTAATTAAAGTCTCAGAGAGAGTATTTGCTCTGATCCCTCCAGCCCCTCATGTGGACCTCGTGTGTGTGTGAGGGTGACAGTGTGCTGCTCTTTGACCAAGATAAGATGTTGTTCACGTGTCAAAGACCTGTACCTGTACCTCCGCTGCTGATAAGACAGTGAAACTCAGCGCTCCCACCGTAACAGCAGAGTTGAAGGACGTAGAAAAAATGCAAATGGTATTTAAAATGTTTAGGGGGAAAAAGAAGAAGCCTGTAAACACAACGCTGACACATCTCCATCCAATGAAGTCTGTTACTTCTGCCACGTCTGCAAAGAATAACCTGTTTACACATCCTGCAGATGTGTGTGTGTGTGTGTGTGGCCTGCTGGTCATTGTCTCCTCTGTTACCTCTGTTCGGCTCCACTCAGAAACATCTGGCTCTGGAGCAGCTAAAAGCTCTTTTGTGTCCACGCTGTGTGTGTTTCTACACAGGACGTCCATATGCAATGCACTCTGTTGTTCACCTGAGTTTTAAAAGAGTTCGGAGCTCACGTGTTTTTGTTTTTTTTAACGTTTTCTGTCTGGCACGATACGACGCAGTGCTACTGTTGGATTATTCACTGCAGCACCGAGCAGAGAGCTGGGTTCATAATGCACTGCTGTTGTCTAATATATCCCAGAAGAACTTTGTGTGTCTTTTATCCGTGGTAGGGCAGAGTTTTGTTAGGGTTGCTGCAGTAGAGCTCACATTCATCCAGTGAACAAAAAAAAAAAAAAACTAGCTGTCAATACTTGTGAAAGTTGGACTCCACTGCTGCGAGGAGCAGAGGGACCGTTCTCACGTGACAAGAGAGGAGAGTTGACTGTGAGCATGCGACAGCGCTAGACACTTCAGCACAAAAGACTGAAGTTACAGAAATGATATGTTTTTATGAAACGTGGTCCACCACAGTCTGGGCTATTCATGGGGAAACCCTGCACACAACTGGAAGTGCAGCAGAAGACTGAGGCTGCACTAAAAAATCTAAGATGAGAGGAAGCGCTCGAAGACAGGAAGCCGACACACATCTTGTAAAATGTCACGCGGAATTTGGTTACGTCAGCGTTGTCACAAGTTTATTATCTGATCGTAAGCACCCGCTAGAAAGTGTGAAGTCACAGACACGATTTCAGTCAGTTTTTACGAATGTTTAGGCAGCGATGACACGTGTTGATGTCAAACTGTCAAACTTGTTAGAGATTCAAATGTAAATCCTTGAGATGTGATGTGTACACAAAGCCCCTGCTAGTTGTAAAATGGAAGGCCCATCACCGAAATACAAAATGTGTCTGTTTCATTGTAGATTTACCGACTCGTTTTTTAATGATTACCTTCTTATGTTTAATGAGCAAATTCAACTTAGTGTAAAGTCCATCCCCTGTTTCATTACCGGGATTATTGGTACGTTAATGTAGGCAGAGGGAGGAATGCAGCAGAGTGAATAACTAATTGTGAGATTAGCCAGTTCAACTCCCCCCGTGTTAGTCTCTGTCTCCGTTTCCCTCGGACTGTCCGTCCCTCACGTCTGCGCGATAGAAAAAAAGTAAATAGGTTTTAGTTGCCTGCTCCAGCTGAGCCGCAGCCCCATCAGTAAATAAGACAGCTTGGCCCCAGGGCCTTGTCACAGCCGTTTACAACTCCTATAGAACGGGATGTGTGACCATAATATTTTCCGACTTTGAATATTATGCAACGGAGCCACTTTCCATCAGTGATATGTTTCCCTGATGTACACTAACCTGAGCTGCACGGTTCAGAGTATCCAGGGGAATTAATAATTCAAAACCTTGCCGAGACACAAGAGATCTGTTATCAGTTAAATTATTTGCTATATTTTACAACAACAAAAAAAAAAAAATTGACGAGACACGAAAAACTTGGTTGAGGATAAAACCGTCAGCTGCCAGTTTTCATTGAATGCTCTCTCACTCACTGACCTGGAAAATATTTAATGCATCATCTTTCTCTGACTGATAAATTGATAATTCTTGATGAATACTGAATTCACTGTTCTTAAATTTATTTTAAGTTCCTTCAACATGAAGTACATCGTGGTGACTGTCAGCGATCGGCGTTGGACGATGGAGCGACTAACGCCCACGTTGTGAAACGTCCACAATGTTTTATTAAAAAAAAAAAAAGCTAAATTCTTTTCCCCCCACCTGGGAATTTACCAGCGACCGCGTATGCTTTGCTAACATTTGGCAGCGAACGATGTTTATCTTCTCAGCCAACAACTATTGGCAGACAATCAGCCATCCGTTGGATGCGCCCTATCAAACAGTATTTCAAAATTAGTTTTCTAAACCCAAACACTTCAGTGAGATAATAACAAAGACGCAGTCGGCTCCAAATCTTGCATTAGCGTTGACAATCAGTGTCCAATTTAAGAGCTCTGCCCATCTCTTTGTTTTTATGTCAGCGGCTAAGCTCTCGACAAGAGGGACTCTTGTTTGAAATAGTCTCGGACAAAATGTCCACACAGACAAAAATGATAGGAGGTGAGTTTGTCCTAAAAGAATATAACCTATAATCTATTAAAGCCTGTTGGAACATGTTATTGATGGCGTCCTGCACTGTCCCCTTGTAAGAGTAGCAGCAAAGACAGATTATTATCTTTACCGTTTGTACTGTTCCTCCTTCGTTTCTCACTTTTAGGTGAACGGAGCTCATATGGAATAAATGTGGCGTCACCGAACACAGTTTAAATCAAAATATGAAGACAGTTGTGGGTTTGCTTGCTTATGTTGCCAGACTCTAGTAAATCAAGTATTTGAGAAGCCAATTAGCTGCATTTTTGAATGTTCATTGAGCCGTAAATCAAAATGATTTAAGAGTTTTGCTAATTTCATTTACAATATTTTGTATTTAAAAAATAAAATTAAAAGAACGCGTCCACAGTTGACGCTGCTCTGGAGAAGAACTGACAGACAAACAGAAAATGGATTCGTCTCTTCAGTGTGCGTATTAAAAAACGTGGCGTTCAATAACAGTAACATGAAAATGGGCCCATTTGAGATCATTTCGCATTGAGGGGCTAAGTGATTGTTGTTTGATCCCGTGTCTAACAGCTTCTCATTGTGGTGCAACGTTTTTCAGTCACAAAACAATATTTCATCTCGACCGCCCGGCGTTCACCCTCCTGTCAGCCCGGCTCTATAAATACATCCTGTGCAGCTCACGTATGCTCTGCCTCGTTATGCGGCGGCTGAGCGATTGTGGCAGTTTGGACGCAACGTCGATAATATGATGCGCAGGCGATTGATCCGTTTAATAAACGTGTGCAGTGGCCGCGGTCTCCATGTCAGTAACCACAGCGCGGCTCAGAAGCCTTAAATACAAACGTTTACAATCAAATAATGATGAAATGCTTTTTCCGTGTGTCTCCTCTAATTACAATATTTGTATTTTGTGAGGCAAAACTTCAGCTACAATAAAACGGCTCCCTGTCCCTGGAGATCGTGGAGATTTACTCAGATTGCTAAAATTAAATACAGCCAGAGGCAACGATGGCATCCATCTCTCCTCCTGCCAATTCCGCATCCTCACTTAACTGCGACGTTGTAGATTTGTTAGTTTACTGTATCTTGCATGTTTGTTGCGTCAAAGAGAGAAGCCATGATCCGGAGAATCAAGATGTAACACTGCCAAACGCTTGAATTGCCAATAGATTGTTGGAATTGTAGGTTTAAGTAATAACTTGACTTTATTAGATCTCCTTCCTGTGTAGCAGACTGTCCGACTCCATCATCATCTGTCTTCATGAACTTCCTTCTTCTTCTACTACAAGCACTTAAGTCTTTCTTTCTTTTTCTTTTTCTTTTTCTTTTTAACCATATCTCAGTGACCAGGGTGGTGAATATGTGAACTGTCCCCTGGAAGATGAATTATCACCTTGTTAACTTCCTCCAGATCATCTGGAAGTCATTTGGAGCTCGGTGGCAGCGAGTTG